GCTTTTTTCCAACCATTGCTGCGCTTCACCTGCAGCTGCTGCACGCTCACCTTGATGTCCTGGATGTTCTCTGAGGGGATCCACGCTCTGCAGGCCAACAGAGAAGAACAACCATTACGATTGACAGGTTTCAAGTTCTATTCGACTTCAGTTCAGTGTTGAGAAATGATTTTAAAAGTAATTTAAAGTAAGAATCTGGGGTAAAACAGTCACGGCATGCGGCGCTGTCTGAAAACAAACAATCAGAGAAGTCATGCTGTGCTTTGTTATAGTTGTGCTAACCTCTGGTGTTGATGTCCAAAGAAGCGTACGTCCACCTGGTTGTCCTCTCTCTGCAGGACTTTGGCTGGCCAGTAGCCAAAACCTTTCATCTTGGCCCAAACCAAGTCATGGCTGGGGCTCTGCCACGCAACACAGAGAAAACTTATCAGGAACAAGATGCAACAGACGCGATCAGCTCATTTACAGAGATCGCTCTGTAAAAGTAACAGACATTCAGCACACAGTAAAGCTGCATTTCTCAGCTGCCGTCAGCACAAACATTTGCACGAATAAAGATTATTTTTCTGCTGCTAAAAGGACTAAAGTGGAAATTTAGCCTGTTGAAGCCACTTTGTTTATACTCACACAGGGATAACAGAACCAGTTGTCGGGCCGGGCGTTCGACAGGTAGAAACAGTTCTTGCATAGCAACAACTCATTCAACTGGAAGACGGAGACAAAAAAACACATCTCAACTTGTCACTAATTAAAGTTAATCAAAGGAGCTGCGCGATGAACTCGAGTGTAAGAGGAAACGATAAAAAGACGATACCTCGTGACACGTGTCACTGAAGAGCAACCGTGCGATCTCGGCCTGGTCGCTGTGAACTGCAACACACAAAATAAGACAGCAAAACCTCTCAGTCTGGTTACGTCAAGGTTAATACAAGAAAAATCCCAAACCTCAACTAAAACATCAGGACATGAAACACTTTGGGTGGTGATAGTAAACCTAATGGTTTCTGGTGTTAACTCCAGGTTTGATACTCAGTTTGGTTTTTGGGATCAAACCCAGCAGGCGCTGCTGTTAAACGATATTTTAATGAACATCCAAGGAGAAATTGTGAGGTTTAATAATGTTCTGCAAGTCATTTTGTTGTTATGGTTCTTTTTTGTTTTTTAGCCTAATGAGTTCAGCTCGTGGAGACGAGTCTCTAAAGCTTCATTGAATTTATTTAAAAACAAGCATTTGTTTCCTTGTTTAAAATTTGAGATTCAGGCTTTCAGATTATCAAATAACAACATTTTGTTGAGCCGTAAAAGCTCAACACTTGTTACCGGTGTGTTAATTAGCCAAACATAACAAGTAAAACTCTCTAATGTTAAGCTATAAGCAAACCACTCCACAGTCACATGACTTCAACGCCACCACCAGCAAATCCTGTCCTCTGTGTGAGGACATCAAATGTCCCCAACAGCTTATACAGTCTCAGTCTGACACTTGCTGACACTCATCCTCTGATAAAAGCTACAAAATTCAGTTTTTGTTTTTGTTTTTTGAAACAAGGCGAAATTGTCTAAAGCTAGATTTAACCACAGATCTTAAGCCAGCAAAAAAACAAACAAACAAACAAACAAACAAACAGAAAACCATTTCAGAAGCGAGGCAGAATAAAGGGACTTAAATGTCCAGGTGTACCCTGACTTTCATCCCACCAAAGCTGGGACAGGCTGCAGCATTCCTACAACTCTGACATGGATAAGTGGAAGAACATGGATGGATGGATATACTGAAAAATTGTCAAATTGTCCAAAAATGATTC